ACTCTTTTGCCTAGTCTGAACGGAAACTCTGTAGCACAGGCTGTCCTCAAATTTACAGCAATTCTCTTGCTTCAAGTGCAGGATTCCAGGCATTAGTCATCACACCTGGTTTCGCATCACTAGATATGCACAAATAAACCAAAGAATACATAAACCAGAGTGGTACTAAAACAATGAAAAAATCTGTGCTCAAGAGACTATTAACAAAATGATGTCAATAAAAGAGCTAGTAACAAAGTTTATGTATTACTCATCCCATGTTCCATAACTCAAGTTTGGCCTTATGGCTGGGTTATTCATCTAAATAATCTCAACAAAGTCATTTCATGCCTAGAGTTTTACTGCTCACCCTCAAAATAAACGGCTCAGAAGATAGCGGAGTCATAATGTACTGCCTATTACAACTATTATTCAACATGTGGAAGACCTTAAGGTCCAGATTTCTCTTCTGTGGCCTGAAGCTTTGTAAGGTTCCAACTTAAACTGAAAATGTCTTTATTCTCAGACAAAAGAAGTACAACTCTGTAAACAATACACCACTCCCAAACCTGGTCGGACAGCATATCTTCCATCATTCAGACTTACTCTACATCAGTTCTCAAGAATGAATCTTATTATTCAGCCAACATGTTTTCTATCTACTTTGAAGGTTTATGTTAAAGAGTTCCCAAATTAATTACTAAGTGAATGTTTTCACAGTTAGGTAACCTTGGTATAAATGGTTCTCATTTGCATAAATTTCCATTAACACAGTGTAAATAACACTGACCCCCCAACTACTCCAAACTTCCTCCACCATACTATGCTATCATTACATCAAGTACATGGTGTGTATATGTGGAGGCCAGAGGTCAACATCAAATGTCTTCCTCAACATCTTCACTCTTTGAGATAGTTTTTTCCATGAAACTTGGAGTTTACTGATTAGTTAAGAGTAGCTGGCCAATAAGCTCTAGAAATCCACCTGTCTGGCCCACACCACCCCAAACACTGGGTTACAGAGGAACACTACGTGCACCCTCCAACTGTATGTGGGTTCTGGAGATCGTAACTAAGGTCCCCATGCTTCCTCCCGAAGACACCACACTGATTGAGCATCTTCCCAGTCCTTTGTTTTGGTTTATAAGACAGGGAGGGGCTCATGTATCCAATGATGCATACATGTATACACATACACACGCAAAACAAACAAACTATGATGTAGCCAAGTGTATGAGCAGTCTCCACCTCCAGCCAAGGATGGATGACCTTGAGATTCTGATTCTCCAGCCTCTATCTTCCAAAATACTTCATCTGGGGCTGGAGAGATGGCTTGGAGGTTAAGAGCACTGGCTGCTCTTCCAGAGGTCCTGAGTTCAATTCCCAGCACCCATGGTGGCTCACAACCATCTGTAATGAGAGATCTGGTGCCCTCTTCTGGAATGTGAGCATACATGGAGGCAGAATGTTGTATACATAATAAATAAATCCTAAAAAAAAAAGTACTTCATCCATACAAATGGAACGATTAGTTATAAGAAAAGAATGATTTCAAATGGTTCTGGTGCTACCAGCCTGTAACCTCAGCTACTCAGAAGGTTTAGACGGGAGAATCACAAGTTCAAGGACTGTTTATTAGGCAACTAAGCAGCAGTACCCTGTATAAAATGAAAAAAAAAAACAAAAGAGGGCTGGAAATAGAGCACAATCCCTAGATTCAATCCCAGTACCAACAAAATCCAAAGGACAATGCCATAGTACAGAAAAACCTCCATACAGCAATCTCTGACACAGTTCAAAACACTGAGGAGACAAAGGGTAAAATACTGCTGGATAATAAAATTTACAAGTATTCACCTATTCACCAAATCTTGAGAAGGAAGCTCCTTGTTCTGTATCCTAAGTTATGTAATTAGAAGAAAAGAGTGGTATTCAAACTACATTTGGCAAGTGTTTCATCAGAAAATGAAACTGCAATGTCTTTAATATGTCTAAGTTAAGCTATTAATTTTACTTCTATCCTCACATTTGTAGTTAACCAGAGTTTTTAATGTCTTGACAGTTTCAAAGATTTCAGAATAACCTTTTCACTTAACTAATTGTTACAAACAAATCTCACTGCCATTTTTACTTCCCCAAACCACTCTGTACAGAAAAGATTGTCTGTATGATGTGGCTATATTATTTGATCACAGTATCAAGAGTTTATCAAGAATATATGTATATCAAGAACATCAAGAAAAATCTACTAAGCCAGTAGTCAAAGTTTCAGGATGGAAATACATAGAGTTCAACTCTTCCATCACATACTTCTGAGGCTCAAGTCATTTTCTCCCAGTACTACTTGTGAGAATTGGCATACACACATCAGGAAAACAAGACTTAGTGACTAAGTGGCACAGCTAAAGAATACAGGAGTGTCTAGAGCAGTAAGAAAATCAGAATACTGCCACAATAGTCTTTCAGTATACACACCTCTGACCACTTCTGAGAAGAATATTTGTCTTTGTTTCCTTTCCTTACACAGACCTACACAAAGGTAAAATTTCATTTTTACCCCTAAGTCTCCCATGCATCTTCATTCAAAAAAACTACAGTACCATCACAATACTAATACAATCTAAGGGACTGTTTTTAATATTTCATGTTACAATGTAATGTGATGGCCGGGCGGTGGTGGCGCATGCCTTTAATCCCAGCACTCGGGAGGCAGAGGCAGGCGGATCTCTGTGAGTTCGAGACCAGCCTGGTCTACAAGAGCTAGTTCCAGGACAGCCTCCAAAACCACAGAGAAACCCTGTCTCAAAAAACCAAAAAAAAAAAAAAAACAATGTAATGTGATAGCTAAATTGGATACTTAATACCAAAAGGCGACCTAGTCTAAAAACTGGGAATATGGTATGGACTTACAACATGTTGATATACTGGGTCACTAATTTTGACAAACTTGTTACACTAAGCAATCAAAGGGAGATATGCCCACCTCACTATCATCACAATTTTTTTGTAAATCTAAAAACTACTACAGCAGTGTATTTGGGTCTTGTTTCCTTTTGAGGCGGACTTTACTATCTAGCTCAAGCCAATGAATTCAATATGCAGGCCAGGCGCATCAAGAACTCACAATCCTACATCAGTGCTGGGACTATAGGTAGATACACCACCACAGAGCACACAGAAATTTCTTTTACACAGTAAATTACAGTAACTGAATCAAATGAATTTTACAGATGCTAAATATTAATAAACATCCTTTCCTTTGAGTAATGTTTAAGCTAAGTTTTATGAAATCCTCCTGGCGCACAGGGAAAGGAATGGGGAAACTGCAGACCCACTTCCATATGAGAAGTAAGTGTGTAAAAGATGGATTCATCTAGGAAGGAATAGATGAAAGTCATTATCCTGACTAAAACAGAATAAAGGTTATCCTTTGATGAATACTCCAGTTACTCATGAGGAAGAGAGTACCAGTTATATATAAGCTTTTACTTCCTTGGTTTCAAAATCTTCTCAACAGGGGGAGGGAAATGGGAGGCGGTGGCAGGGAAGAGGGAGGGAGGGAGGGAAGGAAGGAAGGAAGGAAGGAAGGAAGGAAATCTTCTCAACAGAAATCCTCAGTCTAATTTGAATCATTTTCCTCCAGACTTTGTCTCAGTTAGAGTAGGAGGCAAGCCTGGCTACATGAGACCCCGACTCAAAAATATAAATAAATAAGTCCAATTTTCTAAAACGTATTTTAATTATACCAAAGCTTTCCCACTACATTGGTCTAAAACCAGTGAAAATGACAAACAGGATACAGGTATCAAATATGCAATAAAGACACGAATAATCCAAAGCTTATTTATAGTATACATTCAATTTCCAAGAACAAAACAGTTTAACACAAGGTTCTGTGCCATTCATAAATATAAATGCTGGTCTTTTGAAAATAATGAACATTCTTTCATAAGAGTAGTATTTAACTATGTTTCAATAAACAAATTCAATCACAGACATTTTTTTCATATACAATGCACCATTTTATTACTTAAATTTTGAAGTATTTAGCACAACTCTTAAAAATCATGGTTCGGTTCATAAAAACATACATTTCTAATAAGGAGTAAAGAAATCAGAGTTAGAGCATTAAAATGTCACGTTAAAAATAATCCTTGGTCTAAGTCAGCTCTGGCCAGCAGACTGATTTACTTCCCCGAGGTAAAACTGCTGAAGAATTTACTGTCTATGACACTTACACACAATGAAGGTAAGACTTAATCACTGTGAAAAATGTATATATAGGTAATGTAACAATCCCAACAGCCTCTCAACCTCTTCCATTTCTACAACCTACATTCAACAAAAACCAGAAAAATACAAATCTTATGAGCCATCATCTTTAAATGCTAAAACTCCACACTTTGAACCTGGTTTAACTTAACATTTTTTAAGTCGTCAAATCTCTAAGCCCCATCAACACTTAAATTACAATTTCCTAAATGGGAAACCGAACACTGTAAATGGGAATCGAACCCTCAAGCTAAGCAGCAACTGCTCTGCAATTGGCGTTCGTGTTGCGCAGGGTACTGTAGTTTTTCGCTTAAATAAAAAACAGAGCACACATTTTGCCGGCTAAGCATAATTATCGCTCCCTCATTCGAAACAGCGGCCGTCCTCCCTGTTAGTCCTGTCCTCCCGCACGTGTCTGGTGGGATCTCAGCCGAGACCCCCAGCGCCATCCAGGATGCCTCGCGGACGTGCAGGGACACCCGCCAGGCCGGGCCGCCCCGGCACATCCCACCCCGGCGCGGCAGAGGCGGCGGCGGCGGCCTGCTGAGTCGGGGCTCCCGCAGGGCGCCGCGGGCAGTGGGCGCGCAGGTTTGCCGTCCCCGTGGGCTCGGACACGCGGCCCGACCTCCCCGCCACCCGCCCTCCCCCGCCGCGTCCCGCGTGACCCTCCGCACTGCGCACCCGCAGCCCCGCGCGGTGGCCCGAACAGTCAGCAGCGACTGCGCGACGGACCGGGGCTAGGAACCGACCTGTGGAGACGGCCATCTTCTCCTGCTACCAGACGCAGCCGCTGGACGCAAGACGTCACGCGTCACTTCCGTCAGCGCTCGGCTCTACGTCACAGAGGACACCCGCAGTGGGGACCCTCCTGGGTTCCTGTGCACCCGGCGGATTTTGCCTTTGCTGATTGCTCGGACACTTGATTCTACAATAAACGCCGAAGAAAAACCTCGGGAGGTGTTAGGAGACGAAGACGACCTTTCGCAAGAGCTTAAAAAGCCTTTTAAAAATCTGTGCGCTCTAATACTGTCTCTTAGTTGTTCAAGGGGGGCTCCTCCAATGAATCTTTGTGTTAAATATTGAAACAATGTCTAGACAAACGGTAGTAGTTACAGCACACCAAGCGTTTTATTAAGAACCAACATAAAATATGGGTATTGACAACTGTCTTGAAAAACAATATCCCAAAGAGTCGGAGTCACGCTAGTGCAGGGCCACAATGTTACACTTGGGCTGTAGTGTTGCTCTGATGACATCATAACCAAAAGCAGCTTAAGGAACAACTTAGGAACTTTAGTTTATACGTTATAGTCATCAGTAAGGGAAGCCAGGGCAGAGACTCAAGGCAAGAGCTTAAAGCAGAAAGAGATGGGGAAACACTGCTTAGCTGCTTCCTTCCAAGCTTATGTTCACCTACCTCATTTACAGGTTCAAGCCCACTTACCTAAGGATGGTACTACCTATACCAAGCTGGGACTGTTATTCTTTTTTTAAAATGCTGCAAGATCCCCAGTGGCAGCAGAAATGCTGTAGGTCCCAAATGGTGGCGGCGGGGGAGCAGCCAATCCCAGGCAGAAAAGGCTGCCGGTCCCAGAGCAGCGGCCCAAGCGGTGGCAGCGGGCCATGTGGCGGCAGACAGTGGGCCCTGGGAGCAGCCAGTCCCAGGCAGAGACAGCTGCTGGTCTCAGAGCAGTGGTGGCGGGCCATGTGGCAGCAGGCAGTGGGCCCCAGGCAGAAATGGCTGCTGATTCCTGAGCAATGGCTGGTCCCAGGCAGGGAGATGCATGGCAGGCAGAAGATAGAAACATGGATAGACATGACATGCAGGGTGAGGTTGAATGTTTATTCAGGGGGTTATGGAGGAGGAAGAGTGAAGGGGGGGACAGAGAGAGGGAGAGAGAGAGAGAGAAGAAGAAGAAGAAGAAGAAGAAGAAGAAGAAGAAGAAGAAGAAGAAGAGGAGGAGGAAGAGGAGGAGGAGGAGAGGAGAAAGAGACAGAGAAGGGGGGAAGCAGAGAAGTGGGGAGAGAGACAGAAGCGAAGCTGCCTCTCTGAGAGGAAGATGGAAAAGAGCAGTTCAGGATGGAAGCTGAAGATCAGCCTGCCTCAGCGGATGGGGAGGGGAATGGGTGTGGCTTGTCTCTTAAAGGGACCAAAAACATAACGGGACCTCCTACATCAACTAGCAACTAAGAAAATGCCCCCACAGACTTGCACAGGCCCATCTGAATTAAGCAGTTTTTATTTTATTTTATTTTTTAAGCAATGCATCAATATTTTAATAAACACAAATGAAATGTAAGTATGATACAAAATTATTTTGTATATCTGATTAGCACCACAAATAGATCGATAATTAGGAACTCAGTAAATTATAAAAAAAATGTACATCACAACTGAATAGTGCGAATACAGTTCTCTGATGTAGTAAGGGCTTCAGGACAGTAGAGGAACTTTGGAACACATCCTGCACACTTATAAACCACTGAACAATGCAGACCAAATGGGAGGAGTTTTATTTAACCCAAGGGAGGAACTTTTCTCTTTTCTGTCACTTAAAAAAATATTGGTGTGTCACTTGGTGCTTTTAAACTCCTATGAGCTTACTTTACATTGTTTCAGTTATGTTTATGTGGTGAGGATGTACATGCAAGTGCCAGAGGCAGAGGAACCCTAAACCAGTTACCTGGCATGGTTGCCAGGAGCCAAACTTGGTCTGCTGGAAGAGAAGCCAGGGCTCTACAGTGCTGACCTATCTCTCCAGCTCCTGGCCTTGACCTCTTAGTCCTCTTGTTCTGCCTCCACCTCCTAATTGCTGAATTAAGCAATTTTTAAACTGAGATTACATCTTCCCATTTGTGTTAATTTGACAATCAACATTAGTCAACACGAGTTCACTCCTTGACAACTTGACAAACACATCACAGTTAAACCCATAACTTTCCTATCTGTCCTCCAAGATGCCATATATCATAATATAAAATACAGTACAACTTTAGAAGTCTTTAAAAATTCCATACTCTAAAAGTCTCTTTACAATATCCAAAGTCAGGTACAATAGACACCCCACACAGGCAAATAATATAGGCTACTCACAATGCTCTTGGTTACCCTTGACCACCTGACAATAAACCCTATTGCTGAACATATCACTTGTTTATATAATTAAACATTGAAAAATCCAGTAGGTGCTCAACTAGATGTTTCATGTCTATTAACTAGAATTCACAGTGGTATAAGGTGCCAGAAAGGCTACCAGAAAATAAAAGTAACTATCAATCTCACCCAATTATGCACCCTGCAACTTACAATAATGATCTGCCTGCAATATATACCTACTGTAGCAATACTGACAAAAATGTTATAGTAGTAACCAACCATCTTTTCCTTAATTAAAAAATTTTTGTCAGGCAGACAGCAGTGACTCATGCCTTTAATCCCAACACTCAGGAGACAGAGGCAGGTGGATCTCAGTGGATTCGAAGCCAGCCTGGTCTACAGAAGGAGTTCCAGGACAGCCAGAGCTACATGGAGAAACCCAGTCTCAAAAACAAACAAACAAGCCGGGGGCGGGGCAAGACGTTAATCACATTACTTGGAGGACTGAGACCAGCCTAGTTAACACAGTGAGTACCTGGACAGCAAAGCTGAACAGAGAAACCCTGTCTCAGAAAACAAAGCAATAAACAAAAACAAATCAAACAAATACAAACTAACAAAATAAAAGAAACACACAAAAAAATACCCCACAAAAACAGAAACTAAGCCGGGCTGTGGTGGCGCATGCCTTTAATCCCAGCACTCGGGAGGCAGAGGCAGGCAGATCTCTGTGAGTTCGAGGCCAGCCTGGTCTACAAGAACTAGTTCCAGGACAGGCACCAAAAACTACAGAGAAACACTGTCTCGAAAATAAAAAAAAAAAAACAGAAACTAAAATATACAAGCAAAAACTCAATAAAACAGAAAAAAAAATCCCAAACAAAGCAATATGAGACAAAAAACTCTACAAAATCACCTTATGGATTTGATTTGTGTTGCCATACTACTTCTAGGCATGGGGTTTATTTAACCTGAAGTGTGGTTAATAAGCTCATTGAGATGCCACTGGAAAAAAACAAATAGGTTTTTTAGAGCAGGTATCCGTTACAGGTAGCTTCTTGGTTAAGGGTGGGAGCCCATGACCATTTTCCCCTCTCAGAGCTTGGGTCTGTCCAGGCCATGAGTGTGTTACCACAGTCTCTGTGAGTTCATATGTACATTGGTCCTGAGTGGTGTGGTGGTGTGAATGGAGAGATTATACCCTTGAAATCATCCATCAACATTGGTTGATGCAATCATTCTGCATCTTATACATATATGCTTTTCCTCTTATACATAAATCCCTGAGCCCCAAGGGAAAAGACAAAAACAGGTGGCGGTATTTTTTCAAAAGGACGCAGACAATCCTAACTAAATAGGTAGAATTTATAGTATATAAGGCGAAAACATAGGGAACTTCAAAGAATTTGTATTAATTTTTATAGCAAGCTAATTAATAGTTAATTATTATGTTGCAGATATAGAATGTATAAGAAAAGCTGTGTACACATTCCACATTTTTCTTATTGTCAGTACCAGGAAATCAATGATACGCTAAGCCAGAATAATGCAGAGGAAAGAATGATAGATGAGTTTATCAGAGTTTAAATTTTTAGTATTTTTTATATTGCCAGTTATTGGTAAAGTACCTAGATTAAAAATAACTTATTGTGTCAATTGTTGAAGATCTATATGAATACATCAATCCAATGAATGAACAAATGATTAATATAAGTAGCAAACTAAGCTTGACCGACCATCAATCAGTCTTGTTCTTAAACTGAAAATGTATTGTCAGAAAATAACTCAAAGCAGTCTTGGTCGTTCTGGTTTATTTACACATAAGGGAAACAAATCAACAGACTGATTTTATGCACCAAAGGTAAAATAAGATTTATCTATGAGATTTATCTAGGAGAGATGAAAATGTTTAAAAATATAGACCCTTGGGGGCTGGAGAGATGGCTCAGTGGTTAAGAGCATTGCCTGCTCTTCCAAAGGTCCTGAGTTCAATTCCCAGCAACCACATGGTGGCTCACAACCATTTGTAATGAGATCTGGTCCTCTCTTCTGGCCTTCACGCAGAAAGAATATTGCATACATAATAAATAAATAAATATTTAAAAAAAATATATAGACCCTTCACAAATTTGTGTGTCATCCTTGCTCGGGGGCCGTGCCTATCTCTGTGCCATTCCAATTTTAGTATCTGTGCCGCTGACCTGAGCACAAGACACTAGTTGTGAGTTGGGTCCAGAACAGGGTGATGCTCTCTAACAAGTCCAGACTACTACACAAGCTGTGCCACTTGTGCCATGTGATTCGGCAGAACTGATAGAACTTGAGGTATCTGTGACAGATAGGGACACTGTTTACAACATTTGAAAGATACTGCATGTGAAACACAGCAGAGACCCATGGGATTTTGGAAAGACGCAGACATAGACTGCCATTTGTAGGAGACAGCTCTTACCCTTAGTGTAAACTGAGTACTTGACACCGGGACAGTTCTTATACAACCTGCACGTCTGTCATGAGGTAGGCATTATCTGACCCACAATCTCATACAGTTGGAAGTGCACGACAGTGATCCTTCATCGAATTGAAGGGGTATATATGTGATCAGGCCTGGGCACATCCTGAAGGCACAAATAAGTAACTTGAAGAAATAGCTGTTGCTACCACACTGCTACAACTGAAAGTGCATTCCTTCTCCCAGAATAAA